AAGAACTGCCCCATTTCTTCGTGGGGTTGAGAGAAGCCTGAGGGGAGCCAGGCCTGGGACTTCTCCAGCGTTTGTGAGATCTTCACCCTCCCAGCTACAAGTCCAGATTTTGCAGCATGCTGTTCACACGGGTCTTGCCAAGCAAGTGGTACCCTTGGTGTGCTGCAGTGCTCTTCTGCAGGAGAATTAATCAGTTCTGCCCTTTAAGTGTTCCTACACAGCAGTTGTGGGAATAAATGGTTCCTGTAACTACTTATCTCCTGGAAAAACTGCTCCTGTTGACCAGCCCAGCCAGGAGCTACCTTTGCTTCTTACTTCTCAGAGAATGCCAGTGCTCCACCTTGCTGCTGGCTCTCAGCAGCAATGCTGGCAGGGGGACCCTCCCCAGAGAGGGACCATGCTGCCTGTGAGGGACAGCCAGGACTGTGCAGCAGGGTCCCGAGCACTGTGTCACGTGTGACATCCCAACCAGGGTACGCAGCAGTGGGGCTCAGCATCACCACTGAACCCAGGACCCTGGAGACACAGGCAGGAAAGGGCTGGGAGGAGGAATAGAAAGTCCACAACTGGCTGGGCAGAAGAACTAGGGCCCCTACAACTCTTTCATGTTCACAGCTTTGGTTTGTCTCCCCTATCCAGGAGTGAAATGAAGCGCTGGATGATTTCACTAGCCCCAAACCGGAGAACTAAATTTGTTTCATTTACATCCAGACTTGTTGGTAAGAGACACAGCATCGGAGCTGGGAGCTCTTCACCCCTACCCCAGGGCACCTTATTGTGCCTGATTGATCTCAGTGCAGCCACATATCTGGGACCTATGTCAAAGCTGAACCCTCTCCCTGGGCTCCCCTCCTTTTCCACCATCAATACCTGCTTGTCTCTGGGCCTGGCCCTGACTTTAACCCCTCCAACCTGGGCTGGGCTGCACCAGTACTCTGCCTCCCATCCTGGTTGCTCATGGCTAGCACTGTGGTGGCGATGTGAGCCCAGCTCCCTTCCCAAGAGTTACCTCCCCAGTACCTGTGGCTAGGGCACTCCCTGGCTTCCCCCGAGGCCCTTACCAGATCAGAGGGACCATGTGCAGATCTTGTGGAGCTACAGCCACCCAAGTTGTGCTGTTCTTCAAGGGGTTCCATCCCTGTCCATCCCTCACTCTTGCCCTGTTCCTTGGCAGACTGCCCGCAGATCCAGTGTGTCCACCCGTATGTGGCCCAGCAGCCTGATGAGCTCTCCTTAGAACTGGCTGATGTTCTCAACATCCTGGACAAGACAGATGATGGTATGGGGATGGGATGGGGATGGGCTGGGAGTCTCTGTGGAAGGATAGGCTTTGCTGCAGGCAGGCAGCTACAAGGGTCTCCCTCCAGCCAGGGAGAAGCTCTGGTATCAGCGTGGCAATCAGAGAAGGAAGTTACTACCTTCTCCTAATAGCCAATCCAGGTTGCCTAAGTTGTAGCAACACTGGCACAGCCTCCCAGCACCAGCTGTGGGCCATAGTAGAGCTAGCACAGCTATCCCAGATAGTGCTATTCTTACCTTCATGATGGTTCACGGCCATGTGGTCCTGCTCTCTGAGGTACTCTTGTAGCTGGTGGTCTCAGTCACGTTGGGTGTCTGCTGGGAACCACACCTGTGGCTCCAGGGGCAGCGGAGGCACTTGGTGGCAGCAGTGCCTGCTTTCTGCTGGTATCCCTTGAATCAGTTGTCCTCACACGATGCAGCTCAGATGAGCAGGCCTCCTTACTGGATGGACAGCCTGGGTCTGCTCCAGTATAGGCCTCTGAATAGCTTCCAGAAAATTCTGCCAGCTCCAATGGCTCTTTCCAGCACAGCTGTCCCAGTGCAGGAACAAGGGACACTACTTACGCCTGTCTCTGTCTATACTCAGGCTGGATATTTGGGGAACGTCTTCACGACCAGGAGAGGGGCTGGTTCCCCAGTTCTATTGGGGAGGAGATCCTGAACCCCAAAATCCGAGCCCAGAACCTGAAGGAGTGTTTCCGGGTGCACAAGTCAGATGACAGTCAGAGAAGGAAACTGGGCAGCAGAAACCGCCAATGACCACCGGCATCCCCAAGCAGTGCCTCAGAAAGGCAGAAGACAGAGGCTGCCAGTTGGAAAGAGGTGGCACCTGTGGGACACTGTGGGGGACCTGGTGCACCTGAAAAGGCACACACGCCCATGAACAATCAGACTTGTTCCTAGGCCCCCCAGAAGCACTGGTCCTTCCCTGGAGATCAGCGCTGTAAACTGTAAAATAACCCTTTTCCAAGTGTCCTGTAAAGTCCCAAAGAGCACGAGCTCAACAGACACTACCCGAAAGGCCACGGGGTGCTGGCCAGATGAGCCACATGTGCTGGCTGGAGATGGCTCGGGCTCCTTGGGAAAGGCAGTGGCCACAAACATCACTGAGCAATTAATATCACTCAGTTTAAGCACTAACAGCTCATTGCTACCTTCAAAGTCTGGAGTGCTCTGAACCCACCATCTCACAAGGGTAGACTGAGGTCAAGCAGCAGTCTCAACTGTCTCTCAGAGCTCACTGGCAACAGGCTGGGATGAGCCTCAGGACCTCTACCACCCTAGTCCTGCTGTGAAGCTGCTGGACTCATTCCCACAGGCAGACCCTCAATCTGCTTCCAGTCAAATGCTCTGCAATGCTCCACACCCATCTCTTCCCCAGCAGCAGCCCAGCCTTGCCAGTCCCAACTCACATCTCTGCCTGCCTGACAACCTCAAAGCACATCTGGGCCCTGTCCCATGTCAGCCCCCTCTTCCACAGCCTGCCCTCCTTCTGCAGGGCCACTGCGGAACCCCAGCACCATGGTCTTTCCTGGCTGATCAGGTACTTGTGGTCTTTGCTACTCTCTGCTGCTAAGGCCAGAGCAGGGGTGGCTGTGCCAGCACCATCTTGCACAGCACACAAACTACAGGAGTACCAGCAGCCCCAGCTGCCAGACAGCAGGTGAGTGACCTCGGCTGGGAGCTGCTGTCCTGCGTGCTCGGGGAGGCCTCGTAACCGCTGCCTGCATGCTTGTAACCCACCCCCACACCAGCCTCCCTGTACAGGCTCACCTCCGTGTATATATGCAAGTCTTGTGGCCAGCAGGGCCAGCTCATCACTCCTTCCAGCTGTGGCACTGAGCAACGCATGAAGTCCTGGGCACAGCACTGAGAGCAGCGTGGGGGACAGACCCATGGCAGCGGCCCCTTGTTCAACACATGGCTGAAGGCCTCTCAGCCACAAGCTGTGGGCCAAACTGTGGCCAGCATCCATTAGGAAAATCAATTATTTGGCACCTTTCTGTACCACGGCAAAGGATTGTCTTCCAGGCATTGCAGCCTGTGCTGATGCATGCCCTGGCTGGGCCACCGTTGTGCTCAGAAAGGGGATGGAGAGCAGCTGCTGACAGAGCCACATAGCAGCCATGGGCATGGACGGAAGGAGCACAGTCATGCCAGCAGGAACATGGGGAGAAAGCAGGACGCCAGGAAGCTGTGAAGGGAGGCTACAGACCTGCTCTTTGGACCACATGGGGTGTGCAGTGTGAGGCTGAACACAACTGAGGTAGGTTCCAGGGCTGTCCCTACTGACACCACAGCCCTGGGATAGCCAGCCCAGAGCCAGCACCCAGAAGCAAAGTGGTGGGAGCCACAGCAGTGAAGGGGACAGAAGGCATTCGTCACTCAGGCCCAGATCAGCGCCACCTCATCAGCATGTGACAACAGCCAGCAGGGCTGTACTGCCATGGCCACTTGTGGGAAGCTCATACTAGCCAGTAGTTTGCAGTCACCTGTCACTGCCCAGCCCCAGCGCTGGGCCCAGGAAGGACTTGCAGCCTCCAAGTGGTGCACTAGGCAGATTTAATGGAGACACCCCAAGCCAGGTCTCTTCAGCAGCACCCCATAATCAGCTTTCTGAGACAACCAAACCTCCAGCTCAGGATCCAAACCTTGCAACAGCCACAAATTCACCAGTGCAAACCCCAGAGGAGCTCCAGCTCAAGGAATTCCTTAAAATTACCTGAGAAATCACAACATCTCATATCAACCAGCTTTGTAGCCCAGCAGCCAGCCCAGTCCAGCGCAGGGCCTGCAGCCCCACATGCCTGCCTGGCATGTTTCTCACAGCACAGAAATGCTCTTTTGCCCATCGGATGTTTCACCAGTTCCCTAGTGTCAGGCTGCCAGCTCCTCACTGCACTTCTCCAGGGAGAGGGGCTCAGTGCTGCTATGCCCTGTCCCATCACTCACCACCAAGCCCTGGGATTGCTCCAGCCCCTCCTGCTCTGTTGCAGTTCCACAGGACTTCAGGCACACGCTGTGCCATTTTTAGGCACTGAATGGCATCCAGTGTTATTTCCTCAGACCCAGCCCTGCACGCCTCCATCTCAGTGGTCTCCAGTGTTGTACAGGGCCAGGCCTGGGGCCCACAAGCACGGGCTGGAGCCCCCCCAGCCCTTGCCAGGCTGCCTCAGCGAACTGAGGGGAACTTCTTGTTGTCTCGTTTTTCCGTGTGATAAAATGTAGCTGAGCAAGCCAGCACCAAAACGCTTGTGTGTCTCCTTCCTTCCCCAGAATGAGCCCTTATCTCCTCCCCAGTCCCCTCCAGTGCAACTGGCCCAAATACAGTCGGTGAAAATGGGGTTGTACATGAGCAGGGGTGATCACGGGTGGCTTACACCTGTGAACAGCCCTTCCCTATGAAAGCTATGCAGGGTGATGCCCAACACTGTTACAATCACCCAGACCCAGAAGGGCCCTTTTGAGCTCCCAGCTCAAAGCCACACACTGCCACCGGTTCCTCCTGAGTGGGGTTGACAGGCCCTGCCAGGTCTGCGTCACCCAGGAGATACACACACACCGAGGACATTGAGCAATTGAGGCAGCCTGGCTGTCCAGCACAGGGCCTGCAGTGCTTTTCCCATATCCGTGGCACCATTTCTCCCAGGGCCCCAGGCAGACAGCTCAGGAGCAGTTGAGGGCAGGAGACAGTCCAGTTGTGTAACAGAAATATTTTTTTTATTGAGTTCAGGAGGCTGAGAACTTTCTCAGTGTGATGATGACCAAAGCTACGAGCACGGACGTACCCAGGAGGGAGGCGATGACAATGGCACCAATAGCTCCAGGCCCCAGCGAGCCTGCAGGGAGAGAGAAAAACGCATGAGGTCAGCAGAGGCAGTGGGGCCCAGATGGGAAGGGCTGCAAGGATCACCACACAACCCAGCACTGTCCCCAGGCATTAGACTACACTCCCATCCCAGAGATCCCTGCACTGGCCATGTCCCATGCCATCATGCAGCCCAGGTGTGATCCTGTGCACCTCTGGGAAGGGGGCTGTAGCCAGCCACCACCACCTCAGTCAGCTCCCAGTAACAAGGACAGCCACAACAAAGTGGGTCGCTAGTACCCAGCTTTCCTGCTAACACACCGGGACAGTTGCTTTGCTTGTGGCAGGACCATATCTCAGCTGGTGTTTGCTGCCAGTCAGGAGCCACGAGCCAGGAAAGGCTCATGGTCTCCGTTCAGGGAGCTCCCGGCACACTCTGTCCTGGAGAGCCCTACCTGCACTCAGGGCAGTTTTCTTTTCAGGGTAGGTGCCTGCCATGACAGGTCATGGGGCAGGAAGAAGGGTCTTGGAGCTACCTTGGGGTTGGCAAGAGCTCCACAGCAGAGGCTTTTCAGCCGGGAAGTTTCTAGGTGCAGGCAATAAAGGCAACCCTCCCCAGCAGGGTGGCTTTAACCCCTCCCGGGAGGTGACAGGCCCATAGGGAGCAAACCCACCGTGGGGACATGCCAGGCTGCTGCGGGAACGAGCCGCGGGCACTCACTCTCGCAGCCACTCACCGTCCCCAGCGTCCAGCCGGTGCAGGTGGGTGGTGTCCTCGGGCTCCAGCTCGGAGGTGTACGGAGGGAAGGCAGTGGCGTCCGACAGGCGGGCGGTGGTGGTGGCAGCGTCGAAGGGACCGGCTCCGGAGGGCACCTCGGGCGGCTCGTTCCAGAGGGTGGGGACTGAGTCCTGCGGGTACTCTGTTGGAATAAAAGCACCCAGGGCATGGAGGACCGGTGAAGCTACTAGTGACAACCACAGCTCAGCAGGTCCCTGGGCTTCAGCTGCCTGCCAGGTGCCCCCAGCGATGAAGGGTGAGCTGAGGGCTGAGAACTCCGGTATGGAAGAGCCCCCCTCCTAGGGGGCACCACTTCTGCTGAACAGCCAAGGCAATGCTTCTGTGGCAACCTGGTGTACATGCAACACACGGGACAACACAGAGTGCCCTAACACCCTGCAACCTCTGCTCATGCACAAACAGGCCCCACATGAACATCCACAGTTGGTTTGCTCATGGATGCCCTTGGGACTGGGCTGGGAACAGCCGTCACACTACCAACAAGCAGAGGCCACCTGTGCTGGCCAAATTCACAGCATCTCAGGGCCCTTTTGTCCTGCACCACCAGCCCGTGCAGTGCAGGATGCTGGAGGTGCTGGCACAGCACAGGACATGGCTCCCCCAGACAGGACCCCAGAGCCTCAACCTCCCCCTGCTGCACCCCCGCCATACCAGGCAGATGAAAGCCAGGCTGGGTTCTGTTTAATGTTACCACTCGTCTCCTGTTATTCCTTCCTGCTGTGGGTCAGAGACCAAGCCAGAGAGCCCTCCCTGTGTGTGGCTCACTGAATGCTCCCTGTCAATGCCCAGCCTTGTTCAGGTGGGTTCTGGCAGGAGCAGGAGACATTCCACAGCTCCCTGCTGAAACCACTGGGAATGTTGCACTGGGATGGGAAAAAAAGCAAGGGGGAGAAAAACGAACAACATTCCCTGCCAGGGGACCACCTGAACTGACACAATGGTTATCAGGACTGTAAAACAGGGAGTCATGAGCTGGAGTAAGCAGCCCGGGCTCCCTGGGGCAAGGCACAGAGGTATCCCCAGGCATCCCAACTCTGGCATGTGAACCTTGGTGTACCAGGGGCACTTGAAGACTTGTCCCAGGCTCTCTGTGGCCCAGGAAGAGAGATGGCAGCAGCACATCTTGGCAGTGCCAGGAGCCCTCCTGTGGACAGAAGGTGCTGTGGGAGGAGAGCAAAGAATCCTCATTAATGGACTGCACCACACTTTGTTCTGCCTTAAGATTCCTCCCTGGAACAGGAGGGCCAAAACACCTTTCCTGCCGGTACAAACCCACTGAGAATTTACTGCAGGGCTTGCATCAAAGATGCACGATCTCTAGAGTTATTCCAGGCTGCCCACAATCTTGGGAACACAGCAAAGTCCTAGACTAGTTTTGAAAGTTCTTTCTACAGGCAGAAAAGTTACAGGGTGTCCAGTGAGACAGCGGCCAGGTTTAACTCCAGCTGTGACCTTCCGGACTCTGTCAGAACCCCCAGGAGCAGAACCAGCACTGGTTCTGGTGTCCCTCACCTGGCAAAAGAACACAGTGCTGGGAGGACAGTGTTGCTTCCTTTCCCAAGAATGTTTTTTTTCCTCCAGAGCTGTGCATATGCCTTGAGTGTGACCAGGAATTGGTGTTAGCTCAGATGATCTGTAACAGATGCAGGCGCCATGCAGGGAGACTGCATGACCTATGCTGGGTCTTCCCAATCCCTGCTCTCAAAGGGATGAGGAGGGAGCACTATCTCTTCCAACCACAGGGAAAAGGTCCCACAGGTGCCACCAGCCCCAGATGTGCCAGAAACATGCACTTTGAACAGGAGAAACTCTTGAAAAATTTCTGGCAGTTCTCTTTAAGCAGGGCACAGAGCTCATTTCTGATATCCAAATACAGAGGAAAGAGTCAAGTTCAGTTATGATCTCTGTGATTTGTAAAATCTTGGATGGCTGCTGGATATGTATTTTGTTAATTCCCTTCATCCAACTGACACAGACTTTCAGTTTGCCCGCACAGAAAGGGCAGAATGTGCTTAACATGCATTTGCTGTCCTGAGTTCTTGTGGTTTTACCCTACCGGCACTTCAGCCCAGGGAAACACAACCCCTTTCACTCAGGTCTGGTGCCTCAGGAACAGTTGTGAGCTCAGAGGCAGCAGCAGATTCCTGCACACACATTAAGTGAAATACCCGTAGCTGAGCCTCCCCAGGAGCCAGGGCTCCATGTTGGTCCCCTTCTCATCTGAGAACCTGCCCCTCGATGCTGTTGGAGCAGGTGCTGAGGGCACACAGGGTGGGGGAACACAAAACGAAAGGCAGGCTCCTCCAGAGCCCATTGCTGCAGTCTGGGAACACTGTCTCTCCTTGATTTTCCCTCCTAGCCTAAAAGCTCATGTCCTCACATGCCTCCACTCCTGCCAGCTGAGAAGCCCAAGCGCCCATCCAAATATCCTTATGCATCCAGCAGGTTTCTTTAACAAGCAGAGGTTTCACACCTGCTTTCCTGACAGTCCCAATGAGTGTCAGCCACACTGCTGCTGGCTGGGAGTGGTACACCTCTAATGGACCCACATCAAATGCCACAATGCCATTTCAGTCCCCTGGTGAAAGCAAGAAAAGCGATGGGAAGGACAGAATTTGTGTCAGATACCAAACCCCAACACATGCACATTAGTAAGGCCTCATATCTCCAAGGGAGGCATGAGACCCTTTTCCAGCCACCCGTTGGATAGAATCTGGAGAGATTCTATAGACACAGAACCCAGTTCAGGAGGTTCAGTTCTCTGCTCCACTGCTGCTCTTTTGGGTAACCATCACAAGTCCTGCTCCTCCCAGGCTCAGTTTCTCTGTGCATGAGCAGGAGACCAGGATCTAAACACGATCTACAAAGAAAGCAGCACCAGAGTGGCTAGACCTTCCCACCCACACCATTGCTGTCATTCTGACTGTGACGAGGAGGACGTGGCCTGGGAACCTCAACAAATGCCTCAGTGGCAGCTCTGGACCTGGTAGCAGCCATTCCCAAGGAAACGGCAAGCTGAAGGGAAGCTCCATAGCCGCGGGGCTAGAAAGAGCATTCTTAACTTGTACAAACACCCAAACACGCTGCCATCTCCAGGGAGGGAGGGCAACCAACAGCTAGAAACTAAGTATCAAAGGTAAGGTAGTGCACAGCTTTCTAGTTCACCCCAGAACCTTGCAGAAATAAAGAACTAACAAGAAATACGCTCAAAATACATCATCACACCATCCATCACAAGACCAGATGTTTAACACCTGGGAGAAAGCCATGCATTAGCTGTGCTGCCATCAGTTTCAGGACCAGTCCTACCTCTAGAAAACTCCCGTGGGGCACTCCCATGGTTTGCTTGCCCTGGAGGGACTTGGCAGGGCGGCTGGGGGCACATGGAAGGGCTGCCATGCTGCTGAGGCACACGAGTGACCCACCACTGCTGAGGCTCTGTGCCTCAGTGCCAGCTGTGCCTCCAGGCCCTGGCACAAATGAGCTCTTCCCCAGCATTAATTAGCTCTGTCTCAGCACTGAAGCACGAACTGAGGGCAGCTGTTGCTTTCGGACTAACTGTAAAAGCCTTTTCATGAGAAATACAGTAGGAAAACACTTAGGAGAACAACATGCAATAATCTTATTGGAGTTTTACTGGAGTTGGAACTGGACAAAACGGACTAAAATTACTAGAGCATTTTACAGAAGGCCAAGCGGATGATGGCAGTTCTTCCTTCCCACATGTTAACACTACAAATTGTCTTATTTTAGGGAAATCTTTTTGCTGCAGTCTTCTCCCTCTCCTCAGCACAGGTTAGTTATAACTGAGGTGAGGAAATGAGAAGTCAATATCAGTTACCATAAGGAAATACATTACGAGTTTTCCATGTGCTGCAGGGGCCAGTGGAACTCCAGACACGTGGGCTGTAGAGATATCTAGAGGGGATGATGACAAAGGCAACTTGACAAAACTGCTATTTCCATGGTGAGAAAGTAGAAAGTGAGGTGAGCTGCCAGCACAGTGATGTGGTAGCCAGTAACCCAGGTACTCAGTGACTGAAAGGCAAGACTCAAAGAGTCTCTGTAAGTGACAGCCCCAGGGGAAGCCAACCAAAATTGATGGAGTCAGACCCTCCCCACAGGCCAACTGTAAGCCTTTAAGGCAAGCAGATATGGCCACATCACATCACTGTTCCTGGAGGTTACTTGTTAGTGGCCAAGAGTCTCCTTCACACAAGCTGACTTCAGCACCTCATCATCCTCACTCTCTATCTCCAATCTAGCTCCTTATTCAGGAGTCAATACCAGCGTCAGAAATTTATAAGGAGAGTTGGAGCAGAGCAAGGTTGAGCAATGGCTCACAAAGTCCCGCTTTAAGTCTGGACAGATCTGCTTGAACATCTTTACCTGAAATTTGCCAAACAAAACCTATTTACTACTATCCATGTTCTAGTACTTAAGCTTTAAAAAACGTCCTAATAATCTTTTGTTCTCCTATAGTTGAAAAAAAAAGACACACAAGCTGCTACAGAAAGATGTCCCTGGTCAAGGTGTTTTCCTGTGTCTTTTCATTTAGTGTCTGTGTTCTGTTGCTTTTCTCCCCTCAGACTCATTTGATATGCTACTGCAGTAAAACGTATTTCCACATTAGCTCAAAACAACCTCACAAGCCCACATGTGAGTTTAAATACCAAATATACATTATTCAGAAGCCAATGCCTTGCAAAGGCTTTGTACGAACTTCCACCTCACTTCGAGCTCTGAATCCATTATAGAAATTGAAACTGGGTTTGCTGATAGGAAAAAAAAAAAAAATCAGCTCTTCACAATCCTCCTGTGCTCTAGGCCTATGTGCCACTTGGGTTTGGAGAAAGAAGTGGAGAAGGCTTAGGTTTGTCACAGACCCTTGAGCTGGCTGTTTCTTGTTGCACCCAGATGATGTGGACAACGGGAGTTAAAGATGTGCTTGCTTGCTTCCCAATCTTTGACAAATGTGATGCTGGAAAGAGCTCAGTAATTTGGAGAAGTTCACACTTTCAACAGTCACAGAGCCCTGATCATGCTGTGCAGGAAATCAGACCAGCTGGGCAAGCAGCCTACAGGGAGAGGAGACATCCTGAACATGGGGTCAGCATGACCAGCACCAGCTGCAGCCCGCTCCAAGGCAGAGTCGCTCCTGCTCATTCTGGAGGGCTCTGCTGGGGACAGTCAGAGGTGCTGAGACGAAAGGGCAGGGATGGTGAACTCTGAGGCCAGCAAGGGGCTGTCCAGTCCCAGGTGGCCACGGCAGGCACAGGGCCAGGGCAGGGCTGAAAGGAGGCCTTCATCAACAGCACAAAGGGCAGCCTGTGGCAGGCAAGGCCAGGAGCTCCTGTGTGCAGCAATGCAGAGCTGCGGTTCTGATGGATACTGAGTAAACTTGTTTACAGAAAGGCAGGGCTGTGTGTCTATGTGCTGAGACCAGAAGGCTGTCTGTGTGCCCTTCCCCTCTTTGTCCACACTAGGCCGGAAATTTCCTTTTCTAATGGAGTAAAAGGCAGAAAAGTTCCACTGTTCCTCAAAGCACCTGCAGTGGGGGGAGGAACTCTCCATGTCTAATGCAGCAGAGAATCACTCTGCTCCTGGGTTGGCTTACTGGCAAGGCTGGTTCCCTCCTATCTTCTCTAAGGGAGCAGGGAATGACCTGTTAGAGGCTTAAGTTTCTGAAACACTGCAGAGAACGCATGGAATCTCTCTTGCATGCCAATCTGAATGTTGCACTCCCCAGTACAAAGCCCTTCAAGCGTCACTGTGTGAGCACGACTCACCCAGTAAAGGGATCAAGTAAACTTGGGAGTGTGCCACAGGAGCAAAGTGAAACAGGCAGGCAGCACCAGGCACAAACCACAGCTGCAACGTCAGAGTAAGCACATGGAAAAGCCAGCAAAGAGGGGGGACAGAGCAAACGCACCAAATACTGGAAATTTAAAACAGCACAGAAGAGATCCCAGCTTGGAGAAGAAACAGATTGAATTTTCACCGGAAATGAATCACTTCCTGCAGAATGAAATACTGCCAGTGATTAAGAAAAGACCTTACGCAGTATGGGGGAAGAGCATGGCCAGTGCTTCTGAGAGCAAGAGCAAGGCACAAGCTGAAACTGTGCTAAAATGGTTATGTTTCACTGTACAAAAAAGGCTCGTGGTTTGAGAAGTATCCACTTTTTAGTGCTCATTTCTTACTTTGAAGGTTTCCCAGCACAAAGGTGTCCCAGAAAGACAAGACAGCAGCTGCACTAATTCTGCGCCTCCACCCACAGATGTTCCAGCCAGGCACACCAGTGAATCCCCCTACCTGTATGAAAGCTCCTTTAAAATTTATAAAAACTCCATAATTTGACCTGCTAGACAGCTGGCCAGGATCTCCTTATGAGGCAAAGATGCTCAGAAGAAACTGGGAGAGAACTGCAAAACAATGTTGCTCCAGGTCTTGGAAGGCAGGACAGGAATTTGGGAAAACGAATGCTGTGTGTGTTAGCTTGGTCCCAGTGATCTCTTCAGCCTTGCCTCCACTGCAAGAAAGGCTTTGGGGGAAGCAATTCCCTGTAAGAGTTTCCACCTCTACACTCAGAGCCCACCAGAGCAGTGGGTTTGGAAGTCAGTTTTTTCCCCGATTATAAAACCCACCTCAGACCTGCAGCCTTTGAAGCTGCCTGTGCCCTCAGCTCCTTGTAGCCAGCACAGCTCTGCTGAAGGCAGGAGCAGGTAAAGCTGAAATTAGTAACAATCCCCAGAAAAACGGTGCCTTACAGAACAAACATCTCTCCCATTCTTCTTCTCATCACCTCACTGAATCCAAGTCAGAGCCAGGCACCTTTCCAGCACTGCCCTGGTGCCCCAGCTCCAGAGCAACCCCGTAAGGATGCACACCGTGCCTTTGGACTGAGGCTCTGTGGACACTTCCCTGGTTCTGCCTAAAGCAGCTGCTGTGCTCTGCTGTAGGAGAGAACACAGAAGGAACACATGAATTCGTGCTTTAGCCAAAGAAAAATGTTTCTTTCCATAACTGTAACTTCTTCCTGCCATTAAAAGCTGAGGGACAGCCTGTCCCATCAGACACTGAGAGGTTTTCCATCTCCTGCTGATTGATGCGTCCACTGACTCCCACCCACCAACACTGACATAGGTGCTACTGCCGTTCTGCTTAGAAAAAGTTAAAGGATTTTCTCCACTGAAAAGAAATTCTTGCTCACCAGCAGCCATCAAAGCAAGTTTCCCTTAATCAATTATAATACAATACATGTTTAGGGAGGTTTTCAGGGCAGAGAGAAGGGCAGTGTAGTAAAGGATCTCCCATACTTTTGGGCTTTAAATGCAAACAAAGCTCCTTACCTGCCAGCACAGCAGGGACCAGGATGCTGCACAGCGTTAGCAGAACCAGGCGAAGGACTCTGTGGTAGGGCATGGCTTCCCTCGGGAAAAGCATCAGCAGGAATCCTTGAAACTCTTCAAAGTACAAAACGACTCAGAAATTTCACTGGTCTAATAAAAATTTTGTTCAGTCAGGTAAAAAAAAAAAAAAAAAGTAAAAGAAAGTCCTTCACAAGAGCAACTGTGCAGAGAGTGCAAAGCCCAGCAGAGCCTCCCTCACTCTGGCTCCAGGAGCACACCTCCTCCCAAAGGCAGCTCCACCCTCCCAAACTTGTGCCTAAAACCCCATAGGCAGCCAAGCAGAGCCATCACGACCCTGCCAGGCCACTGCACACATGAACAGTTGTTGGTGAGCCCTTCCCAGAGGCTACGAGGATGCTCCTGGAATGCCTCCCCCTCGGGCTGGCCATCCCGAAGCACAGGAAATAACACAGGAGCCATTGGGGCAGCTCAGCTCAAGACCAAGCAGCCCATTCCAGGGCTCTGCTCCCCCTCACTGTGCAGGGTGGCAGAGCCTTGCAGGGTGGGGAGAGCAAAGAACAAGGGCCTCAATCTTCTGAGGCTAAAATACTCTGACACAGAGCCAGAGCAGCTCCATGGCATCCTTGTTCCTGGGTGGAATACTTACAGAGCTGGCCTGGGAGCCACGGGTGGTCTCAGAACTGCTGTCAAAGTCTCCAAGTGTTTCCAGGAGAGTCGCCTTTGCCAGGCAATGCCAGCATCCTCCTCGGATCTCAACCACTCAGGCACCACCTCACCCTGCCAGCCTCTGCCCCTCTGTCCCTGCCTGCCTCGGGGGCTCATGACAGTTCACAGCACAGAAAACCCAGGCATTTTTCAAATCACATTTGCAGCAAACAAATAACAGGGAAAAGATGAGGTGTATAAAAAGGGGAACACTCCAAATGATTGTCACAGAAGAAATTTCATTAGTATTTTGGAGCTGATGCGAAGATAAATGCTTCATGGTTTCCCATCATGTAATGAATACGTAAACTCTCCCAATTTCAGTTCTTTATGCTCTGAAAATGTGACACAAGTCTTAAATTCAGATTCTTCTGCAGCAATCGCTTTGCTTTTTGGAGCCCCTATTTTCTCCATCTCCTCATGCAAATGACTCTTACTACAGAAAAGGGCCCCGTTTGTCACAGAAGGTGACAAAGCAGTCACCTGAGCACACAATGGGCACTTGCCACCACCTTACCTTCACACTAAACACAGAAACCAGAGTATTTCAGTATTAAGAAGAGTACATCTTCCCTACTCATCCGTTATCTAGAAATTCTCAGGAGTCAAGGGAGGTCCTTAAGGTTTGACAAATTATTGCACATTTTCCCTGCTTGCATTTCTGCATTTTCATTTGGCAATTGAGGTGCTGTTCCTTTCCTGCTTCCCAGCCTCTAAACTAACAGGCTTTTGTGTACTTGTAGCATGGTGTAGAGCAGTCCAAAATTAGCTTGCAGAAATTAGATCATACCACTAAAAAAAACAGAAAGCATTTGTGAACCACACACCTTATATGCTAAAAAAGGTATTAAAACAAAGTCAGGTTACCAGCCTAAATACAAGCTGGTCTCTCAGACATCAGCTGAACATCATGCAAGGCTACCATATAAGTTAGGCCTTAGCATACTCACTTTCCATGGTCATGTGAATGGCAAGACATTTACCATTACCTTTACGGGGATTTTCCACACAAAAACAAGCAGAAAAAAAGAAAAATAAGTCTAAAAAGAGAAACCTACAAGGTATCCCTGTGGACTTTAGGCTAAGGGGACAAATAAAACCTCTCATTTAGGTCAGTGCATTGGAGTGCACGGGGTGGGCACCCACTGGCAAAGGAGGCTCCGTGGCCAAGTGTTTGTGTTCAGAGCAAACCAGCCACGGCTTGATCTACCCTGCATAAACAGCACCACTGTGAATGCACACGTTTCTCTACAGACAGCAGAGGAAAATTAAAGCTTTCTTGTTAGAAATTTCCAATATCAACTTACTGGTGTTTATTTGAACTCTAAAATTATCAAGTAGGAAAACCAACCACTATTCCTCACCAGGGAAGAAATAAAGCAGCACTTCGTTCCACATCCTGTGTATTTGCTTGTTTCTTGATGAAAACTGATGCAAGTCAAGTTTGGGTGAGTTTTAGCACCAGGAATTATCTCAATACTCAGTTTTGACAAAAGCAAGCAGGAAGTTTTCTCTCAGATATAATACAACCAGGTTTTATTTAAGTTCTCTCTTTTTTTTCCCCCCCACACTGGCAAAAGTTCAGAGGGAGTTTAAAGTTTTGTAAACATTTTAACTACCCCTCTTCCCCCTTGTATGAATTTACAAAGCAAAGGAGACAGGGAGACCAGATTTGCAACAGTTCCAAGTCTCTCCATGCTATTGGATCCAAAAACTATATACAAGTCTGCAGCAGTCTCTGTATAGTTACTGTACATGTTTGGGGACGGGGGAAGAGAGAGGAGGAGGAGGGGAAGGTGACCCCAAAAAATGAATAAACCAAACAAAAAAATCCAAAGCCAAACTGCTCTTGAGCAACTCAAACTGTTTTCTTTAGGCAGTGATGACAGAATAACAGACACCTTTATACAACTCCACCAAAACTGCAGCATATCTCCCTTCGCAGGTTACACCCCTCTGGGGACGGGAGATGGGACCAGGGGGTTCAAACTAAGTGCATTTGGCAGTTTTCCTTCTCTGTCGTTTGTGGTGTGTGTGTAGGGGTGGGTGGTTACGTGGAGCAGGGAAGGTGGTGTTAATCTTTCCGTGAGAGAGGCAGGTTATGACTCCATAAACACTTAGAGGTTATGGATCCCAGTGAAGGTGCGTGAAGTACTTTTAAGGTGTAGAAGATAAGCAGGGCCATCATTGCACAAAGCTTCGTCCTCCAGTGTCTCTCTCCATGACGAAAGGGCATCTCTGCTCGATACCTAAGCACTGCTTCAAGTGACAACCAGCTGAGGCTGCTGGCACATCTCTGAAAGCCAGGGTCCACCCTCTCCAGAGACTACAGATCCACACTGTAAAGATCCCACTGTCTCTTAAACGAGACAAATTTGCAGGAAAAGAGCTCAAAATAAACTGGTCCTAACCCTCTGAAGGTAGCACTTAAGGGGTAAATTCAGCCTGAAAGAAGAGATGCCACCCCCCTTTTCCAGAGCAGAAGTCCCCACTTGTCCAGGAAGGCTGGAGAATGCCGACGGGAACTCCACCAGCTTCAGCATCACCACCTAATGAAGACAGACTCGAGCTTTCCCTCCAAAAATTATGTGCTGAGAAGGGCTGGCAGGGGGTGTGCAACTTCAAATCAACCCAAGCTAAACTGTGCCCGCTACCGCCCCTCTCCTGTTGCCAGTTTCTAAGGGTAGCTTATGAATGCAACTCCTGGCCAGGAGAGCACCTCTTGCCCTGATGGAGCAGCCAAATCAGTATCTGTGTGGCATTTTGGTTTTGACCAACATCTGTTAACCACAAACTCTCAATCTCTCTCTCTCCATATGACTGCACCTGTTGGATGTGGTAAGAGTAACCAGGAGAAGGAAGCAATGCTTTGCAGAATCCCAATTGATTTTTTTTTCCAGGTATGTCAGCAGAATGAATCACAGCACAGTGAAAGCTTGCTGCCCAATTCAGCCTTGTTGTGAACAAAGCCTAACTCCCACCCTCCCGGGACTCTGAACAAAGTCCATTTGAGTGGGCTGACAGTAGGAACATCGCCTGTGCAGTCCTGGGCAGAAAGGGTTTGCTGGGGCCAGAGGAAGCAGCCTGAGATGATTGATCCTGTGATTCACTGCGAGGCAAAGAACAACACAAGGTGGAGAGTACGGTGTCCAAATGGAGAATCCATGGTTAACAGATGCAGGAAAAGCCAGTTGATTTGCACATGCTCAGTAGTCTTCCAAAGTCTCTATTTCTCCCATATTGAGCCGCTCTGATGAAGCATTCACTGAAAACCCTGTGAACCAAGAAGGACTGGTGTTAAAAATCTGACTGTGGCATAATGAACTTGATACAAAACATCTGTTACCTGCAGTACCATGTGTAAGAGAAACTGAACCCAGGGGTAATTCAGTAAGGCCAGATGCAGTCACCCAAACTCTCTTTTTCCTTAATAAACTAAAATTAATCAACTGTATATTTAGACAAGCATCATTTGGTCTTTGAAACCAGATCAGAAGACTGTTTTCAAGTTCTGTTTAAAAGATGTCACCTGCAGAGCCAGTACGAGGCACACCTACACATGGTGGCAACATGGCTCTGCAACAGCTTGAAAGGGAGTGTGCTTAAGTCAACTGGTTCTTGGAAGTGGCTGTCAACACCACACTTACACGGTGTGAGAGGCAGAAACGGGAATTCTGAGAACTTGGAATCCACACGTGGAATCATGATCCCACACTTCAGGAGCTGTGAGCTATTTCACCCGTCACTTTAAAGTCTCAATCAAGTACCTATGAAATCTAGTCCATCTATTTCCATGCTTTTTTACAAAAGTAAACCTGAAAATGTACAAAGTTACCCAGGGCATGCAGGTGGCTCAAGATGCCCTCAAACTTCCACCCAACCTTTCAGCCATATGTGCTGAGGACATGATGCACATGAGAAAAGTGTGAGAAAGAGTGAAAACACTTTTGAACAAGGAAACAAATCTAATAAATCAAATGCAGCTTTCGTACTGAAATCACCTTTTTAAGACTGTACGAACCCCTCTGGAGTATGAGAACAGGGAAAATTTCCCTGTGTAAGGCTACTAAACACAAAGCTGACACTTCAGTGTCTTGAAAGTGCTACACTGGTTTGCTCTGTGCTAGAACAGCCAACTGCCTTCCCCTTCAAGACATAAGAAATGCTTTCTTCAGTAGGTTTAGGAAAATTGTTCTGGCTCCCTCACGTGGCAGTGTGGCCTAAAAGCATCCAAAATTGTTTTGTCAAAGAGTGAGTGTATGCGTTTTTCCCTTACAGCTGGAACTTCTATATTGTGTTTAGTGATTTCTTCTTCACATTATGAGTTGTTTTTTTAATACATTCAGCTGAGTACCCAGATCAGACTCAGTGGATGGGCACCTTGGGGTGGCATAAATCAGGATTCCACTGAAAAGTTCCAAACACACAAGTGCAGAAATCACTGATTTAGTTGAAGTATTTACTTAGATGAGACCAAAAACAGAAGAAAGACAAAAACCAAAAGGCAGGGCTCTGCTAGAGCCTTAAAAAAAGCTAGTGACTTCAGGTGGACAATACCTGTCTGCTCTACAGCAATTTGGCTCAGCAGAAGCAGCACAACAAAGCCTGGCCCAGTGCAGTGCCCCGATTTCCTCTCTGTCACACAGGGCCCAAACACAACAGTGACCTGTCACTCCACAGTGTCCATGCACTCACACAATGGCCTGGTACCTTAAAAGCTATGTCAAAGAAACTTTTCCATCAGTGCTACAGGGGATGGTTAAAACCAGCCTCACATAAAAATTAAGACAGAACATAAATAAAGGACATCATGATAATGATATCATCTCCACGGTGTCCAAGTAAAAATCTGTGACCACTTCAACCTTTGCTGTCTCTTCTGACTAGGGTAGTGCTTAGCTCCTGGAAAAAGGTGGCAAGGCAAAGATAGCCTCAGAAAGCTGCTCCTCATAAAAGAAAGGAAAACATTATTTTCTTCAAAGAACAAATCAACATTAAAGCAATAAAATAGCCATAAGTCAACTTAAGAGGAAAGGGAATTTAACTGATATCCCTGAACTACTTAGAGGTTTCCAGGTAATAACCCAGGTATCAAAGAGGTCATTACATGAAGGAAAGAATGACAAAGGTTTAACATGAGACTGATACAGAACTTTTCAAATCATTAAATAAATAAAACTACTGGAAAGATTCTAAAGACATTACAACTTTCCTAGTCAAATTCAGTATTGCCATTTAAGGTCATTAAGAATTCTCCACACTGCCCAAAGCAAGCCACCACTACCAAATTAAATGTTAATTTTTAAAAATTGAAACCGACCTAACAAGCTGGGATCCGCCCGAACCATTTTTTGTTTCTTCTTTTTCTTCCCGCTCTGCACAGCCTCAAAGTTGGACTGCTGGTTGTTGCTCTGATTGGTCTGAAAGACTGAATGTAGCGAACTGTGGTTCATCCCCCACACTGAATCCTAGAGAACAAATTAAGGACAAGATTGCAGTGCACACTGAAGTCTGGTTTATTTATGTAGAAAATATTCAGAGAGCCCAAAACACTTCCTGTACCCATGTGGCAGCACTAGCTACTGCTGTATCCACCTCATCTTCCCATAGCATTTCCTAGACCACCATATAAAAACACTCTGATCTACAGCTGGCCTCAACTGTTAAATTACAAAGGAAACTCGATCCTGTGGTAAAAACTGGAAACTGCTTTACTGCCTGCATTTGCCAAGACGTTGATGAATTCAGCAGGGGTGCTGACTCTCCAGCCTCACACAGCCCTCAGGGGGAGCAGAGCCACCCTTACCTGCTGTTGCTGCTGTTGCCGCTGCTGACTGGCTTTCTGTTTGGCACGGCGCTCGAGGAACTGCTTGGCAAACTCCTTGGCCTCAGGAGTGTCTCCAAGGTAGGCTCGGATGTAGTCATGGACCTCATAGGGAGACTCCACTTCCTTCAGGAAGGAAACAAACGTGGGAACTGCAAGAAGAAGGCAGACCATGAGTGAATGCATGTTGAGAGCAAACACACACATGCAATAAACACCAATGTCAGATTTCCGTGTCAAATATTTGCTGGTGTAGTAGCTTG